GGAAATTCTACTTTCTTTAAAATCTTCAATTAAGGTCATAGCTGTGCCTTCTTTTAAGGGCCTAGAGAAAGCACAGGTTGTAGAAACAGACATAATATAGAATCCTAGATCCTCTACGTACCTGCTATGTAATATTAGTAAAGTTACTTAACTTCTCTAGTCTCTATATTTTTATTAACAAATTGAAAATACCGATATCATGGGATTATTAAAAACATTAAAGTAGAAGAGCTTTGAAAAGCATCTAGCAGGGTACCTGGTATATAATAAACATTTAACAATTATAAGGTCTCCAACCAAATCGCTAATCTTCACTATTGTTAAAGAGCTCACTCCTGTCTAATACTGTTCTTGTCGTGCCATGAACACTCTTAAATTAGTTTAATCTTTCTGGCTACCTACTAGCAATTTAATCAAATTTCTAATGTATTGTCAAAGGTCCTGGAGTACAAATTTTATAAATCATCAATACAGATGTTCTAATTCTGTTTTTTAACTTTTTCCAATAAGGAATATCTTGTACCAGAATTATCGAGTGAAGTACAATCTCTCTGGTCCAAAGCTGCTAAGCTGTTTGAGTCTGAGGGGGCCAAAGTAATTGAAGTGTCCCTGCCCCACACCAGTTATTCAATTGTCTGCTACCATGTATTGTGTACATCAGAAGTGGCATCGAATATGGCAAGATTTGATGGGCTAGAGTATGGTAAGATGGTTGTGTTAAGGTAGTTGTCTCAACATTTGAAAGGTTCACTTTTTAGTGGCAATATATGTATAGTGTTGATGATTTAGAAAAGTAAATCAGTGAATCTTTTAGCATTATACTTACACTATTTATCATTAATATCTCTGTCACTTTTCTGGACTGAATACCTTGAAGAGATAGTATCTTATCTTTGTATTTTCAGTTCATCTAATGTAGTGCTTAGCACATGGTAGATGCTCAGTAAACATTTCAATGAATGAGCAAATGAGGAAGTGAACAAATAGTGTCTCCCTCTTGGTTATTTTCTTTTGTCTCCTTGAATGCTGACTGGCCAATCACTCACAAGGCAGATAAAGAAGGGAAACCAGGAAGGACAATTCGCAATTTTTCTATTGGTCACATATGTAAATTTAGGTCTGTTTTTCAACCAAAACTTCCTTCTTAAGTAATGTTTATCTCTTTTTGGTTTTCAGGTCACAGATGTGACATTAATGTGTCTACTGAAGCCATGTATGCTGCAACCAGACGAGAAGGCTTTAACAATGTGGTGAGAGGAAGAATTCTCTCAGGAAACTTTTTCTTATTAAAAGAGTAAGATAATTCATGTCCCTGTTCAGGCACCAAAAAAAAAAAGTGTAAGATAATTAGTTTAGGAATTTTCCCTATTCTTAAAAACTCAACAGTAAAGTAGTAGCAGATCTTATAAGTTGAAATATTTGCTAAAGAAGCAAAATCTTTATGATTTTAATTAGAAATCAATTAAAGGCTTATTTATGATACTTTAGGTTTCTATTCAAAAACAAACAAAAATGGGAAGTTTTAGTTAAATGATTAGTAAAAACTAAGTAGGAAGCCCTGAGGGATTTTGGCCTCATTAAATGTCCCCTGACTATTACTGCCACATTGGCTTATGGCTGTTAGAGCCTTAAGTAGTTACTTTGGTGTCCCTTGAGAAAAATTTAGTGAATCAACTTAGTTTTCCCTTCCACTATGCCAGTGATGGCGAACCTATGACACGCGTGTCAGAGGTGACACGCGAACTCATTTTTTTGGTTGATTTTTCTTTGTTAAATGGCATTTAAATATATAAAATAAATATCAAAAATATAAGTCTTTGTTTTACTATGGTTGCAAATATCAAAAAATTTCTGTATGTGACATGGCACCAGAGTTAAGTCAGAGTTTTTCAAAATGCTGACATGCTGAGCTCAAAAGGTTCGCCATCACTGCACTATGCACCTGTTTGCTCCAAGAAAGAAGTCCAAATTACTATGACTCCTACCTAGATAGTCTTCAATATAAGTTTATTGACCATCTTCTGAAGGCATTATTCTAAATGAAATAAGAAAAAGATAAATACGATATCATCTCACTAACATGTGTAGTCTTTTAAATAAATAAATAAATAAATAAATTTTTTTTAAAAGCCAAACTCATAGAAACAGAGTAGAATTATGGTTGCCAGGGGTTGGGGCTGGGGGAAATGGGAAGATGTTGGCCAAAGGGCACAAACTTCCAGTGATCAGATGAATAAGTTCTGGGGATCTAAAGTCCATCATATTTACCGTAGTTAACAGTACTGTATTATATACTTGAAAGTTACTAAGGGAGCAGATCTTAAATGCTCTCACCACACTCAAGCAATCCCTTGAGCTCTTAGTGCTACTTATTCCTATCCAATACTCTGCTCTGGCAAATTGTGGCTGTCTGCCTTTCCAAACTTTCCATCTTCCTCTTTAACCCAGAGCCCCATTTCCCCACTCTTAAGCTCTTTTCAGGTTCCGCCTCTCTGGGTTCAGGCCTGAAAACTGCCTCCAGGCTTTACTCTGGGGCAGCAGTTCTCAACCTGTGGGTCGCGACCCCTTTGGGGATCGAATGATGCTTTCACAGGGGTCGCCTAAGACCATCGGAAAACACATATATAATTACATATTGTTTTTGTTATTAATCACTATGCTTTAATTATGTTCAATTTGTAACAATGAAATTGGGGGTCACCACAACATGAGGAACTGTATTAAAGGGTCGTGGGATTAGGAAGGTTGAGAACCACTGCTCTAGGAAAATCAAAGAGCTTTTCACATACTTGCTTCTCTTCACTGAGAGCTCCCTCTTCTGAATGCCTCTTGTCTAAGGTCTGAAATGATAGTTTTCTTTTGTCTTGTTTTCTGGTTGTTTAATATGGCATCATTGATGGAAGCAGAAGTTCTGCTTTTGAACGTATTTAAAGGAGGAAGAAATTTCATAGAGAACAGAAATATTTGTTCTTTTATAAAATTCAGGTTTGGGAATGCTGTTAATACATTATTTAAGCCACCAACTGTGATTGTTGTGTAAGTTACAGGCGATGTTTGCATTCTTCTCTATAGACACTGTGGTCAAATGATAGCAAGGACATCTGACAGTTCTAGAGCATTCTTTTAGGGTAAAAGATTTTTACGTTTTTATCTCATTGTATTTGGTTTGCAGTAAGACTGGAGTTGTGATATCCATTTTTACCGTGAGGAAACTGAAGTTAGGATAGTGAGTACTTTTGCCAGCCTTCATTAGTTTCAGGAGGATTTAAAGAGCCTTTTCTTTTCCCTTTCTTTGCATAATTGACTTATACTAACTCCGATGTCTGGCTAATTCCTTAATCTTTTCAGTAAAGTAAGCATCTTTTCTTGAATTGCACATTTCCATTCTGGGCTGTGCCTATCCACAAAATACAAAATTGCAAGCATAGCATACTTTCCCCGGTTCCTGTTTGCAGAGCCTGTTTTCTAATGTCTAATTCTGATGACATGTTAGAATTTTGCAAAACATCAGTGTCCTTCTGATAATTAGTTATTATACTATAGATGAATTAGACAGTATAATAGAGGATTAAACTGAGCCTCCAGGAACCAAGTTCTATACTTTCCTCTACCACTGCCAATCTCTGCAACCTCTGCGAAGTTATTTAATAATTATACTTGATTTTCCTCATCTGAAAATGAATGTTCTGGTTTAACAGTTCCCTGGAAATGTTAATGTTTTATGATTATACTAGAAGCCCATTACATGAAGATTCACACAATAGGCCTTCCTTCCCCTGGCTGCTGGCACCAGTTTTCCTCCGGCACCCAGTTCCCAGGCCTTTGGTCCAGCCGCAGCGGAGAAGCCAAGCCTCTTCAATCTTCAGTCTTCAGCCATATGCAAATTAATCACCATCTTTGTTGGGTTAATTTGCATAGTCACTCTGATTGGCTGGTGGATGTAGCGGAGTGACACCAATTTGTATGTTTCTCTTTTATTAGTGTAGATATGCAGAATTGCATCTAGTAGTGAATTCTGATTGATTAAACTATGGACCTACCAAATTTTCTAATGACATCACAGTTGAACAAAATTCATTTTTATGTGTTGTAGGAATCTAACTCATAAAGGCCAAGAATCCAGTAATTCTTTAACAAGCCTCATGTATGAGAATTGTTCAGAGAAATTAAAAAAAGCCCTTAAAATATCACCAATTTTTTTTTCCACAGAAACTATGAGAATTACTTCGTCAAAGCACAGAAAGTGAGACGACTCATTACTAATGATTTTGTGAATGTTTTTAACTCTGGAGTGGATGTCTTGCTAACTCCCACCACCTTGAGTGAGGCAGTGCCGTACGTGGAGTTCATCAAAGAAGACAACAGAACGCGAAGTGCCCAGGGTGATATTTTTACACAGGCTGTAAATATGGCAGGTGAGGGTTCCTCAAAAATGTTTAGGTTTTCTTTACATTTTTAAATAGGCACTCTGGTCTTCACTTAGATTCTAGCTAGATCTAAGGCAATTGCTTGTCCTTCTGGAATGCTTAGAAAAGTGTGTGTGTGTGTGTGTGTGTGTGTGTGTGTGTGTGTGTGTGGTGAATGGGCATAGGTACACACATACTCGGATTCACCACACATACACTTTTTCAGAATCAGTTCACTTAGTAGCATATTTTTAAACTTAAAAAAATTTTCAAACCTATAAAAAAGTTTAAAAGTCACATAATGAACACGGCTATGACCTTTGCCTGTATTCACCCT